CCACAGTCCTGATATAAATTTTGTTTTCTGCTGTGACTCGATACTATTTCTTTGCAGATTTCATACCACTGAAGTTATTCAACCCCTTCAGGGTTTTTACAGAACGCAGGTCTCTTGAGGGGATAGCAGCATACCCAGAGTAGTTTAACAAGCACTTGAAAAGATGGTAAGGGGAATCTTGTGCTGAACTGCAGGCCTGGGAAATGGGAGATATGGCTCCGCAACAGACTCCGTGTGACCTTGGGCAAGTCACCTCCTCCTTTGGGAAATGGTGATCATCTTCTCTTTTTTCCACCCTTTGTTTTGTCCATTTCGATTATGAACTCTTTGGGGGCAGGGCCTCTCTCTTACTGTGTCTATACAGGGCCCTAAACTCAGCTAGGTCTTTAGATGCTACTATTAAAAAAACAAAAATAATCCATGTGGAAAGATGAATTATTGGAATAGAGGTTATTCCTCTTTGAGCAGGATGTAGATTTGTGTGACCTTGCAGTAGACTTAGAATGCGATTTAAATAATAAACAAACAGATAATACTAAGGTCTATTTATGCATTTTTTAATTTTTATTTTACATTTTCACAGCTGCAGGAAATTATGGAGGGAATCAGACAACGGGTGACAGTGAGGCAATTTAATGACAGCAGATACTGAGATTCAAAAAGTTAAAGCTTTATAACTGTTAAAACACAAGTTTCAGCATTATATCAATATACAAAATATCCTTAAACCAAAATCTCATAAGTCCTCCAGCAGCATTTTTCTTACTTTGCCTTTGTAAATTTCAATTATTATTGAGGAGGAAATGTCCACTGCACCATACACACACAAACCAATGAAAAAACATTTACCAGCATTTACCAATACAAGGCTAATCCTACCAGGCTAACTTTAAGAGGGTTTCAGATACCTTTGACAGGTTGAATCTTATACATTCATAAATACAGTTCACTATGCCATATATAGACTTCACAAAGTTACACATCCAAAAGGATTGGACTCTCCAACACTCTATGGATTCGCTGCTTTCCACAGCAGTGGTGTCCTCCCCTGAAACAAGCTACAAACAAGTCTGAATGTTAAAGGCTGAGAAGTTAAAGAAAGGGGAGAAACCTTTTCAAAAGATTAGGAAGGGGGATCTCTGCTGCCACTCAGGTAGTGCTGCACAGATATTTAGAAATACCTATTTCCATAAATATAGTTGTGTGTGAAGTCCCAATCAAAGATCTCTGGTTCCATAACACTGTCATGATGTAATGATTTAGGATGGTGAGGGCAATCAAGCCACCACAGCTGGTGTCATGGTTGCCATTATACTATGAAACACTGATTGCTTTTTAAATGAAAAATGTTCTCCCACTTGAAATTCTTAAATTTCTTCCATGTTATTCTGTGGCTCCTAAAAACAGACCTGTTTTCTAAGCAGAGCATAACCAATATTTAAACAGTGCAGGAAATAGTGCTATTTTAACTGAAAATAAATCTGTCAGCAAGGAGTCACAGGGAGAGCTACACTTGAGACTTTTCAGGTTCTTATTAAAAAATATAAATTAAAGTCAACATGTTCACTTCATTTGCAACATCTGCTTGCTATTTCATTATTAATACACATACAGGGGGCCCCCCAATTCAGGCTGGGTTCACTCCTAAAAACCTTTCAGCTATATTGCATTATAATTGGTCTAAATTGTACAGAATAACAGACATATTACCAAAAAAGTCTGAGTGTGCTACAATAGGTCACAAGCAGAGAGATTTAAAGGCTTGCACAACTTTTGGATTGGGGCAGATTTTGTTTAGGAAGAAGACAGTGTATTTTATAACAGGTTAAGCAGGGAGAAGTTATGAAAATGCACACTTCTTAAAAACCTTACAGACTGCTGTGATCTGGTCAGGTCCAGTACTCTCTGCAGCCTATGGAAAAATTCCATTTGATTTCAGTGGGCTTTGGATTTGATCTATAGTGTACTACCGCAGGCTCCACCTTAAAAAAGGTCTACGGTTGTGTGGCAACAGTGAAAGTCATCCAAACTTTAGTTCTACTTTATACCACTGACCAACTCTTCCATGTGACCATTTTACTCTCTTGAAGGACTCTGAACAGAATTCTGTTGAAGATATTTTCATAAGGACTTTAATAAGTTCACTCCCAAAGAATGAGAGGCTCTTTAAGGCAGGGAAGCCACTATATTTGTTCAGATTGCACACAGAGTGAACTACAGCACACCAGCTTTATATGTTTGTCGAGACACTAAAAGAGTGTTTCAACACCCAGCAGCAGCCACTGAAAGCTACTTGGTGCTAATCTCTTTTTAAAATCTGGCGATATATGTGGTCTTTTGCACTTAACTCCACTGTGCTCTTACCATGTCAATCTGATCATTTAAAGTTCTGTGTTTAGGAGATTTGTATCTTTGATACAGTTACTGTATTTCTAACAAAAGGTAAGTTTGGAGAGGTGTACCAGTCATGGCCTCTGTGCATCCATGAGAATTAACACAAAGGTGGAGTTTGGTTTAAATGATATTGTAGTGTCTGATTAAGTGTAAGGGAGACTAGTAAACTGTTAATTTTTGGAGTTGGCGATTACCCCATGTTCTTTGGGGGTGAAGATTGTCAGTTTCTGGCTGTTCTTAGTGATAGACGCTGAATTGCTAATATTAGGATCATTAAGTCTTTGATCTATGGATTTTGAAGGGCTTTACAGAGGACAGCAAGTATCATTATTCCCATTTTACAGACAGGTAAACTAAGGTACAAAGGTGAAGTGACTTGCCAGGTAGGGTTGCTTGAGGGTCCTTGACTGTGCATGTCCTCGCTTTGTAGTGTTTGGAAGGTTGGGTTTAAATTGAACCTTAAAAATCTTAAGTTAGGGATTGAGGGGGTTGGTCCCCAAAGGGCACATAATATTAAGGATTTTTCCACCAAAAAAGAAAAGCTAGCTCTCAAATCAATTTGAGAGGAGTGGGGGGGGGGCAGGAAATTGCTCAGAAGCCTTAGTGGAGTGTGCACGCTCCATAAGGAGAGAAAGACTGCTCCCCCACTGCACACCACAGACCTCACCAAACATGGTTCTCTATCACCCTTCATTTGAACCACAAGAGCTGAATATCTCAATAATCCCCCTGAACTGCAATCAGCAAAATACATCTCTCCACTGAGATCAGCCAATTTGGAATTTCTAGGCCAAGTCATTTGACCAGATAAAAAGTTAGAAGGTTTCACTTTTGGAAACTTCTACTTCAGATTCGGAACACTATTTACTAGGTTGCTTCTGGAAAGTTTAGCCCACAGTAGATAGCTTGTCCTAAGAATGACATTTGATGTTTCAGGTACATCAACTTGGTTTAGGTGAAGATAGGGTATGTGTTAAAGTCAGGTTTAAGGCTGAAGAGAGTAGTGTCTTTACGTAATGTACTTTTTGATGGATAAATGCATTTATCCAATACATTAGATAACTTTAGGAGGGACGTCAACTCCATACCCTACTCACTACCATTCCTTTCAGGCAGGAGTTTGAGCAAACTGATAAGCATCACACTGACCTCTGAAGGTCAGACCTGGGCTCTGACAAGACAACAAGCAGCAGCAAGACACCTCTCTGTATATAACATGTTAAGGTTTGTGTGTCTAGGATAGGGTCTCTTCTGCCCCTGAGAGAAATGAGTCTCTATCTCACCCTCCTTTCTCCTGATTTGCCCTTGCTTTCTTCTTGGCCTACATTGTTACGGAGTAGCTAGTAGAGTAGGGTCAATTGGGTCAGTACCAGGCTGGTCAAGGTTTCCTGCCAGGTCTCAGAGATGCAGATGTTTTGTCTAAATTCAGCTTGTGAAAGATACTAGCTTAGCTGACAAGCAACTTTGCATTCCTCAGCAAGACCTTAAAGTGTCTGGCTGTGGATACCGCCTCACTTTGCCTGCTGCCTTGTGGATGGGGGGGGGGGGGGGGGTTAAAGGAGCTGGCTGTGTGCCTGCTTTTGCGAGAGAAAGCACCTGAGTGAAAAAACAGCTGGCTGAAGCTTAACCCAGGCAAGAAAGAGGAGGTAAGTTTAGATGAGCTAGTTTAGACCCCCCTACAACTATACCAACAATCAAGGGTATTTGCCCTTCAACTGCAAAACACTACAATTCAAAGATTCACTAGATCAACTGTCCCTGCTCCATAAAAGCCAGGTAACAACAGGAAGGTTTCTCCACCCCTGGGGCTAGTTAGAAGACTAGATACACTACTCTGAGAAGACTTAGCAACCACAGACCACATGTTTATCAGCTACTGTTGCTTGCTCTACCTATAATTAATGGTCAAGACCAGTAGGGAAAGACCAGAATGAGAACTAGCCTGACTTTTCTTAGCCTGATGCAACATACCTGACAGAAGCCTATCCACCATATCAGAAGCTAAAAAAAGAGGAGGGAGAAGGAAGAAAGTAGCAGGAAGAGAGGAACCATCTCCATGTGTGAGCAGCCCAACATTAGGGAAGTGAGAACAGACCAAATGATTATTTTCTTATGCTTTTATTTCTGTATCGTGGCACCTTTATATTGAGTGGGATGGGGTCCCAGCATCTACAAATGCCTCCTATGCTCACACACGGATATTAACATTGCCTTCCCAGCTCAAGGAAAGGTGCTCCAACAGCATTTTAAGAAGGAGGTTCTTAACAGGTGATTGGTGAGGGTTTAAGAGGACCACAGTGGAACAGTTTAAATATCAATAAAGTATCAAGCAGAAGAAAAAATAAGAATTTTATCAGAAGTTAAAATAATTAAACAAATAAGTTCACCAATCACATTCTAAAGTAGGCCCTGGTCTTGCAAGGAGAACTGCATGGTAGATTCCTGCACCCATGAGTTGCAGCTCCCTTTGCACGGTCTTAGTCTACAATGCAAAAATATGTATGTTTGACCCACAAACAAGATGCTGTTTTACTGTCCCTTACGCCTCCTCATCCACAACATAGACAAAGCACAACATGCAGCAATAGAATCCATAAGGCACTCACTCGTGAACTCTGTTGTCTCCATACAAGTCACTTAACCCAAAGCTGACATAATGCCAGTGCTCAGGAACATTCAATGCTGGGTTTCCCAAGTTCCTGTACATGCTAACGTAGTCCAGAGGATCTGGTCCCCCCAACCTGTAAAAAAACAAAACAAAAGGAAGTTCCAGTATAATATTGGAGAAAGAATTTTAACTGTTTTACATGCTGAGATAAAGGGAATAATCTCAGTATTAGTCCCATTTTTTTTTTTTTTTTTTTTTTTAAAGAAAGCTATGCAGACAAAGGTGAATTTTCCCATGTATTATCACAACAGTCTTGTTATGACGCTTTCAGCTGTGCTTTTTATTTTCATGGGAGACTTGAAAGACTGTCTTATGCTAAATGAATATGAAGTCTGCACAGATGCTGGTATGGGCCTTTTAGACAAAGGCCTGCTTCAAATCACTGCAAGTGACAAAAATGAAATTAGCATATCCGAATTCCCTCTAGAGAAAGTAAAGAATAAGGCCAAGTTAAATCTAGAGTTTTAAGCATAGGAAGACAGGGTGCATGTGTCTCATATGTTGAGTGTTTTTAAAGTTAAAGCATGAAACTGTCTGGAGGACCATTACTAAAAGTTTCCACAAAACACCCAAAGATGATTGAAAAATAATAGAAAAATGGTGATAGCAATACTCGCACTGCAAACCTGTATCTCAATTCAGAAATGTATACTCCCACTTTTACTAAGTCATTCTATTTCTTAAAGTAGAATTAGAAAAGATTGAGTTTTAAGAGAATATTGCCTATGTTTGAAAGCAAACAAAATGTGAATACTGGAGACAAGAGTCATTCTCTCTGCAAAGTTATGTTATTAATGTCTTCTTAGTACACTAAGAACGTCAATTTAGAATGACTTAAAAACATATCCCACAGCATCAAGTTAAATATTAGAATTGGTTGCATAGTGGAACACTACTTACAGTCAGAATATAGGAACTAGCAGACTACTTAATGGAATAATCCATTTTATATAAAAATGGAATTTGCAGAATATTTTACTGCTGTAAGACAAGAACGAAATTTGGTTGACACTAACAAGGTTAGTGACCTCATTAGCAATTTGTAGTCACATCTGGCTGTGCAGAGAGAAAAGGTAACTCCCCTGTCAATATGAGAAAACGTGCCAAACGGTTTTCCTTGGTATTTGTACTATCATAAAACAGAAAGGACAGATGAAGACAAGAAGAGACAAGATGTCAGCCACATTTATGGAACAGAGCAAGTAGCTGTTTAACCGTTTCCTGTCTGACCTGCAGGGCCGGCTTTAAGCCGATTCACCCGATTCCATGGAATCGGGCCCCGCGCCTGCGCCTAAGAGGGCCCCGCTCTGGGGGTCTTCGGCGGTGGTGGGTCCGCTTCGGGGGTCTTTGGCGGCATTTCGGCAGCAGGGGGGTCCTTCGGTGCTGCGGAAGACCTGGAGCGGACCCCCCCGCCACGAAGTGCCGCTGGGTATTGGAATCGGGCCCTGCGGGTCATAAAGCCGGCCCTGCTGACCTGCTTTCTGGTCAAAACAAACTCTCTGTTATCCAAAACAAATGTAAAAAGACCCAAACAAACAAACAAAAAAAAGACAAGGAAGTAAAATGGCCGCATACAATCATACCTCTTTATTATACCCTAGCCCCCAACCCTTTGTATGTTGTCTGGTCAGGCCCCAATCCTGTAATGTGTTGCTCAGAGGCGTATCAGGGCCCTAGATTGTAATTTCATCAGGGCAGAGGCTTGTCTGTAAGTACACTGTTCATACTATACAAATAATTCACCAGAACAATCCAGATATTGCATAAATATCTGAATCGTCATTACTTTCAGCCTTCCAAATACCTCTTCAAATAATGTCCTCGGCAGGAGTTTGCTATAATGCACACTTTGCAATTGTACTGTAAACTTCATTTCTCTGTATAAAGGTTCCGACACAAAGTTATGATAAATGGAAGTGTTTAGAACTTTTTTGGAAAATTAGAATTGCATAAAGTTACAGCGTTAGCACAGGAAACAAATGTGTTACACCACATTCAGTTGGATAGGGGATGTGAGCAATAAGGTTAGCCTCAGGGAGAAACTGTACTTGCATGAAGAATTCCCTGTTGACCAATGTTAAACTTCCTGAGCTTCTGTCATGGAGAAAGACCTGACGAAGTATTCAGCTAGAGCAGTGGTTCTCAACCTATTTACCACTATAAGCCCCAACGTGTTATGTGGGCTGCATCCAATACTACCTGTATGGCCCTGAGGATGTCACATAGGCCGCAGCTCTGTGCTGCAAGTTGAGAACCACGGAGCTAGAGCCTCCTAAGGGATGATTAGTGAAAGGAGGTAACATGATACATTCATTAGAAAAGGAACTAATATAGCACTACTAGAAAAATGCCTTGAAACTATAAAATGTCAGGAAACAGACTGGTGAAAGAGTAAAGCTGAAACAGTCACCCTCAATTCTACAAACTTTGAACACTTTTCTACTAAAGCAAGGAATACAACTAACAATGCTGCTCTATCGCTTGCAATTTTATGTGCTAAAGGAATGTTCCTTCAGAAATATTTAACCACTTCTCTTAAGAGCAATCATCTGAAGATTACAAAGAAGAAATTTCCACTCACATAGGTACAGGAGTGCTTCCAAAAACTCTGATAGCTATCTGAATTATTTCCCAAAAATATGCAAATGAAACATGTTAAAAGGACACCTGTTGCATGAAGTATTTTTCATCCATAAGTTTTTTCCCCCCCTCAAGAGGTATGCATGTCACTTGGTTTTGCTGCATGTTTACATAGATACTTGCCTTGCTTTGCAAGCCAGAAAACCCATAAACACTGCAATACTCTTAAAAAAAAAAAAAGTTGTGATTTTTTTTTTATTTAAAAAGAGACTGATTATGTATAATTAAAAACTGATTAGGTTTGCAATGTTATTCCTGAGGCACTGAGCTATTTCTTCTTTTAATCTAAACCAGTGAGACTCAAACCTCAATGGTTCAGGAGCTAAGTTACAGATCAACATTACCAAAAAGAACCACAGTGCTGTGAATTCATTGTTCCATTTACTATTACATTTTATTTTTATATAGTAAATGAAACAATTATTCTCACAGCAAAACTGACCAAATAATATTTTATAAACTACAGGTGGTTAATAACATAGTAAAAGCATCCTGATTTATTAATAACTTAGGCTGGTTAATAATTAATGTGCACATGATATTAAAACACTGTGTGATGTGAAGAGCCACTTGCAGCTCACGAGCCTCAATCTGACTATCACTGATCTAGCTTACGGCCCAGAGGGATGAGGGCAGAAGACAACAACATAGGCACGAGTGAACAACAGCAGTGAATTCAGCAAAGTTTTCACAAATGTTTAAAGACTCCCATAAATAGGTCATCTCCCCTTCATTACACTATGTCTACACTAGCCCTTGTGCTAAAATCTCCTCTGAGAGGCAGCTGTGGTGTATACATTGCACCACTGGTGCTCTGTTTGTGCTAGAGGAACTCCCACTGTTATGTTTCAGAGTAGCAGCCGTGTTAGTCTGTATCCGCAAAAAGAACAGGAGTACTTGTGGCACCTT